GCTAACTGCAGGGAAGAATTTCTTTTCAGCTACAGGCAAACAGCCCAGTAGGAACGGCCACCTCTGTCCCCTTAATTAAATTCCCTTATTTCAACCAGGTTACCATGAACGATATCACTCTCCTGAGGATAACACAGCGAGATAAAGAACGGATGTTGCTTGAATGCCAGCAAACACCGGGACCATACGCTGCCAGGCTTTGTCATGCAATGATGCCAGATTACTTGCTACTAGCATGGTGTGGTCAAGTGGCCTACCATGGAGGACGGAATAAGGCTGCACTGCCCAGAAACCTTGTGGAAAGGCTTTTGGAGTACCTCCAGGACAGCTTCATGGAGATGTCCCTGGAGGATTTCCGCTCCATCCCCAGACACGTTAATAGACTTTTCCAGTAGCTGTACTGGCCGCGAATGCATCCTAAGTCCTCAGGGAAAATTAATCATTAAAAAACGCTTGCTTTTAAACCATGTTTTATATTTACAAAGGTACACTCACCGGAGGTCCCTTCCATGGCCTCATTGTCTGGGGGTTGGGAGGGTACTTCTGTCAGGCTGAGAAAAAGATCCTGGCTGTTGGGGAGAACAGAGTGCTGTGTGCTCTCCGTGAGCTCATCCTCCTCATCTTCCCCATCCGCAGAATCCTCAGGCATGGCTGAGATTACCCCCCGCCTTGGAATCCACGGTCAGAGGTGGGGTAGTGGTGGCGGCCCTCCCGAGAATTGCATGCAGCTCAGCGTAGAAGCAGCACGTCTGCGGCTCTGCCCCGGACCTTCCGTTTGCTTCTTTGGTTTTCTGGTAGGCTTGTCTGAGCTCCTTAACTTTCACACGGCACTGTAGTGAGTCCCAATTGTGGCTTCTCTCCATCATGCCCTTGGAGATTTTTTCAAAAGTTTTGGCATTTCGTCTTTTGGAACGTAGTTCTGCTATCACTGAATCCTCTCCCTATATAGCGATCAGATCCAGTACCTCCCGTACGGTCCATGCTGGTGCTCTTTTTCGATTCTCGGACTGCATGGTTACCTATGCTGATGAGCTCTGCGTGGTCACCTGTGCTCTCCACGCTGGGCAAACAGGAAATGAAATTCAAAAGTTCGCAGGGCTTTTCCTATCTACCTGGCCAGTGCATCCGAGTTCAGTTTGCTGTCCAGAGCGGTCACAATGGTGCACTGTGGGATAGCTCCCGGAGGCCAATACCTTCGAATTGCGGCCACACTAACCCTAATTCGAAATGGCAATACCGATTTCAGCGCTACTCCCCTCGTCGGGGAGGAGTATAGATATTGATATTAAGAGCCCTTTATATCGTAGTAAAGGGCTTCATTGTGTGGACAGGTGCAAGGTTAATTCGGTTTAACGCTGCTAAATTCGAGATAAACTCCTAGTGTAGACCAGGCCTAAGTAACATATAGTAACATGTCTGATATAGACAGAAGCTTAGGAATTTAGTGTTCACATCCTATTTAGTTTACCCTCAATCAGTTTCTAGTTCAAGTTTGTGTGGTACATTATGTACACTATGAATACAGACTTCAACATAATTAAATTTAGTTTAAATTACTCAAACTTTCAAAAACTAATTATACCAAGATAAATGAAGCAGATGATTTAACACAATTTGCTGTAAATACTACTGTACATTTTCTTTTTAGTACTGTACAAATGGCAGACATAAAACAATGCCAAAACAGGGTACAGGCAAATAATATATGTAGTCTGTGGTCTTCATTAAAATGGTTAATCCTGCAATGCACCTAGTCAGTTTAAGTATTTACTACTTGTATTTGAAGGTACGCAATCAATGAATCCCAATAAAAATGTCTAAACAGGTAAATATGCAAACGCTACTGAAGAATATAAAGGTGATAGATACAGTGGTAATTTTACATTGTGAATGATATTTTCAATAACTAGAATAAAACTCTAAATACCAAACACTGTTTGAGGCATTTTTGTGCATACCACCTCTCTCTGTGAGAATATGTATGGTCCTGAAGGATGTTTGACCTGCTTCATCTGCATCATTTGCAAGACCAATAAGTTCATAATCAGGGTCATAAAAAATCTTAAAAATGAAGTGTAAAATTCAGCCTATCAGAACATGTTAAGGGGACATAGTAGTTTGGGCCCAAATTGTAGTCTACATTAAAATTGACTGATGGTGTAAATTCACAAGATTATTTTAAATGCCCCTCTTACAATCAGGTTTGTTTTTTTAAAAATAACCAACATTTTTGTTGAGGTAACATGGCAAGCAGTAATACATATTTTTATGCTTCTAGTAATAAATAAGTTCAAATCTGTTTGGAAATGAAGGAAGCAAGAAAAATGTCTAAGTTACTAAGAGGCTGTTTCAAAATAAAACATCAATTTTGTCACTTTAAATTACAATTTCAGGTTGAATAAACTGTGTATAAATCTACATTTCTGAAGGCAAAAGCCCTGCGATCGCTGATCAGTGTTTCTCACTCTGAGCCTTAGAACCTTGTCAGGCACAAAAGTATCTTGCTTGGAGAAAGTTAGTTACTTTTCTCTTATTGTCATACCTATTTTCTCAGCTGGAGCCATCTGCCTTACATCAGCTTTGTGAAGATTGCAAAGTCTTTTTGTGATTCAACCTAAAGTCAATATTAACCACTGTCTGGCTATACTGAATATCAGTGTTCCTGGGGCAAACACTCACTATTAAAATAAACAAATGTTCAAGTCATAGTAGGTTTAAAATAATCTGTTATTACAAAGTTATCAAAATTCAACACTGATCATAGTGCTCATTAAAAAATATTGATGAAACCTCATTCTTGGTATTAGTAGTGGAGTTTTTTTATACCTATTCTACATTTGTCTCTAAGAGACTATTTAAAAATCAAATTAAATGTAAATAACATAACATTAGCTATAGTATGACTAGAAGTAAAGTGGCAGTGCTAGATGTACAGGATGTAACTGTTGTATCTTTGGTATGTGATAGATTTTAGATGTGTCAAGAATAATAACTGTGATAATGCAATTGCAGATTCTGTATTGTCTACCAGAAGCGTAAACTACTGGAAACATGGCCTTGCTGATATGACTAAGACAATAAAATACTGGTCTTTACATACAAAATCGCATTTGTTTTCTTTTGTTAAAATTCCTGTTAGAAACAATATTTCCAATTTTTTATTTTAAACTCTGAAGCAAACAGTTCATTTTGCAAATGGAAGCTGATCTCAGCATTTGAAAGCCATTTAAACTGGCAAGTTTCACAGCATATCTCATTACTTATTCTCCCTGCCTGGATTCTGATAGGTGTGGAGATGGGCCTATTAGTGCATAAATTTTGCTGTCCTGTATTGCAGAGCAACTTGAAAGTAAGTTATTTGAACTAAGTGGATCTGGCCTTCTATTTTAATATACTCAGAACACAATTACCACTACATAAAATAATGCAGCTATCTGAAGCCATTAAAGCAATTCTATAAAGTACATATCTAGGCACCTAAAAAAGCAGCCAGATTTTCTGAAATGCTGAGTACCTAGAAATTCTGCTGACTTCAGTGAAAACATGGCTGTTTAATTTTAGACTCCTAATTTTGAAAATCTTGGCACAATATTTCTAAAGGAATCATTAGGGTTGACTAAGCAAGCAACTTTGAGCATCATGAAGTGCAGAGGAGGAGTTCATGTGTTGATGGGGACACAGGATGAGACATTCTTGTGGATAAGGGAGAAGCTGTGGATGTGGTATACCTAGACTTTAGTAAGGCATTTGATACGGTCTCGCATGATATTCTTATCGACAAACTAGGCAAATACAATTTAGATGGGGCTACTATAAGGTGGGTGCATAACTGGCTGGATAACCGTACTCAGAGAGTTGTTATTAATGGTTCTCAATCCTGCTGGAAAGGTATAACGAGTGGGGTTCTGCAGGGGTCTGTTTTGGGACCGGCTCTGTTCAATATCTTCATTAACGACTTAGATATTGGTATAGAAAGTACGATTATTAAGTTTGCGGATGATACCAAACTGGGAGGGATTGCAACTGCTTTGGAGGACAGGGTCATAATTCAAAATGATCTGGACAAATTGGAGAAATGGTCTGAGTTAAACAGGATGAAGTTTAACAAAGACAAATGCAAAGTGCTCCACTTAGGAAGAAAAAATCAGTTTCACACATACAGAATGGGAAGAGACTGTCTAGGAAGGAGTACGGCAGAAAGGGATCTAGGGGTTATAGTGGACCACAAGCTAAATATGAGTCAGTGTGATGCTGTTGCAAAAAAAGCAAACGTGATTCTGGGATGTATTAACAGGTGTGTTGTGAGCAAGACATGAGAAGTCATTCTTCCGCTCTACTCTGCTCTGGTTAGGCCTCAGCTGGAGTATTGTGTCCAGTTCTGGGCACCGCATTTCAAGAAAGATGTGGAGAAATTGGAAAGGGTCCAGAGAAGAGCAACAAGAATGGTTAAAGGTCTTGAGAACATGACCTATGAAGGAAGGCTGAAAGAATTGGGTTTGTTTAGTTTGGAAAAGAGAAGACTGAGAGGGGACATGATAGCAGTTTTCAGGTATCTAAAAGGGTGTCATAAGGAGGAGGGAGAAAACTTGTTCACCTTAGCCTCTGAGGATAGAACAAGAAGCAATGGGCTTAAACTGCAGCAAGGGAGGTCTAGGTTGGACATTAGGAAAAAGTTCCTAACTGTCAGGGTGGTTAAACACTGGAATAAATTGCCTAGGGAGGTTGTGGAATCTCCATCTCTGGAGATATTTAAGAGTAGGTTAGATAAATGTCTATCAGGGATGGTCTAGACAGTATTTGGTCCTGCCATGCGGGCAGGGGACTGGACTCGATGACCTCTCGAGGTCCCTTCCAGTCCTAGAATCTATGAATCTATGAATCTATTCCCTAGAGTGGGCTGGGTATCCATATGAAGGAAAACAGATAGGAGTTTGCCCCAGGGTCTAGGTTTGTGGGACAGTTCTTTGAGGAAAAAAGGGGTGTTGCTGCTGCAGTTCCATAAATCCCAGGACAACAGATTCCTGGGGAGGTGGCAGGATGACCCCATATTTGCAGCAGACTGTTCAGAAATGAACCAGACGGGTAGAGTGAGCAGAATACTGTTACTGTATAATCTAAATAATTCTGGAATAAAAAAGGTGCAACAAAGTCTCATTCTCAATTTAAAAACACCATATTGAAAACCCTCTAGAGATATTCTGCTGTTTTAATGGTGCCTAGTAATCAGCGTGGTCCCATAAGCCTGAGTGATCCTTTCTAAAACCCCATTTCCATTTCCTTGTTCTACAAAACTCAATTTAGACACTTTCTACAGTGCAATTCAAACCAAGAGACCAGGACAAAGCAGTCAGCTTTTGACAGACCTATATTAACATGGGATCAGTGGCAAGCGAGTGAAGTGTCTGTCAATAAATCCTGCCAAAATCTGATCATTTCTCTTGAAGATACACCATGTACCGCAATCAAGTGTCTATATTTACAGATGTTAAAGTTAATTTTGTATAAAAAGAAGAGTTGTGTATCTTCTAGAATATGGATGTTCACGTTTAGTATATTTAAGCAAATTCCAACATAAACATCTTCAAATTTAATAGGTTTGATATGACTCATCATTTCATAAATCTTCAGAGCCAGTTTTCCATCAAGTATATACCCCATTCCACTACAGTATGGAGGATATACCTTAAATGGATATTCGTCATAAGAAATATATGTTTTTCTGTAAAACCCTCTGTAGGAAAAGTTATCAATTAGAGGGTAACCAGTAAAAAAACTGTCTGAAGAATTTACATTTTGAAGAAACATTAATAAGTTGCCAGCGTTGATGAAAACATCAGAATCAGTCTTCATAACGTATTTAGTGTTTGAACAAAACTCAGACACCCATCTGAATGCCATGATTGTTTTCAAGGTAAGATTGTTGTAAGTATCCATAAAATCTTGGCGAATTATGTCACCATACAGAATGCTTTCATCTTCTATCGATAATGCTAAGCTGTCTTCTCTTTCAGCTCCTTGTCCTAGTAAGAACAGTATTAGAACCTGACGGTCCCCCCAGGATTTTTTAGAACCCCATGTTACTCTAATGGCCTGCCTTGCCTCTATATCCGTAGGTTGTGAAGACACCAAGATGACCAGAAATGGATTTGTATCTTTGCATTTCAAACGCTCCCGCAGTGTGAAGAGGAAGTTCTGCTTGTAAACTGGCTCATATTCATAGAAATACATCGAGTTTGTATGCTCTATCACAATATGCGAAGGGAGTGTCATGTACCATGTCATTATTATGACAGAAAGCATCAAGAGTGCCAAAAAACTCCATTTTAAGTATTTCATAGACATATTCACCAAAAGCAGCTACAAGATAGATGTGTGCAGCAGAACTTCAAGAGGCTTACAAAATCCTGGGTCACAACTTTTGGGAGCCAGCTTCTTGCTGAAAGAAATGCAGATGGAAAAGGTTAGTACATTAAGAATGCAATTGTACTCATTTTATTATCTGCCTAAAATTGTAACTACAAAAGGTAGCTTGATATCATGAGGTCAGAAAAGGAAAACTACACTGCCCCTGCTAAACACTGTTCTTTAGCCGCCACTTATATCTTGAACACCACATTCTGATTATGATTGAAGTTTGCTGGTAACTAGAGGAGTGAGTAGTGACTGATCTTATTCATGTACAGCTCTCTCCTTGGGAGTCTCATCTACTAAAGGATGAAGTATAGAGCACCCTTAATTCCAGAGACCGTTGAGGGCTCTCAGCACATCAGCCCAGTGTCTTAGACTCATTTAAAGCTTGATGCTGGAGGGATGGTGACACACAAAAACAGATGACTAAAGTGTTTTTTTAAATTACTGCTCAAAACCCGTAATAGTTGGTAATTTCTTTTGATGGAAAGGAGGTAAATAATTGTATTACATTTGTAGTTATTGAGGCTTTTTTATGTAAGCAGGAAGTGACCAGGAGGATATAAACACAAAAAAAGACACAAACAAGTGCAGACAAATATGCTGTCTCATCCCATTTTTAGACCCAGCACAGCCTCATCTCAAACTGCTTGCTCTTGGCTGAATATGCTAGTGAAGAGTCAATCTTTATACAAGCAAACTAAACAAATATTAGAATTACAAGCCTACATCCATAAGTATTTCAGTGCTGAACACACAAAGAAATGGCTATTTCTTACAAAACAACTATACAATAAAAAACAATTTGTTTAGTTATGCACATATTGAACTAGCCAACTACATAAAGGGAGAATCTACCCAATCCTGCCAGACAGCTTTGTCATTGACTTAAATAGGAGCAGGACTGGTCCATTGTAAAGTAGATCAGGTTCAAACCTTAAGGTTTGTGCCAGAAAAGTTTGCAAGCTTATCATGTAAACACATACCCCTGTCCTCATGAAATAGATTTAAGTTTCAATGAAGAAAGGTTTTGTTCCTATTCAAATATTTCCCTGCAGTGTCTCTAACCCCAATATCGCAAGATTGTGCCAGTGCATGAGAGCCAGAAAATGAAATGGACTAGTCCTTTTTCATAGTTCAAGCTGCATGAAATGCAAATAATCATCAACAGTTGGCATAAATAGTGAAGAGTTAGTACAAGTGATTCAGCTAGTGACTTAAATGCTGATCCTGCAGACAAATCTATGCAGGCATAGTACAGCCTTGTGGACGCCACCCATATAAATCTGATTGCAGAATCAGGGCCCTAATGTGATAACAGCAACACCTTTAAGGATTGTGTTTAAAAATAATTTCCTTAATCTAATATTGCCCCCTTAAGCAACAACATTTGTGGAGTTATTTGCTTCCCCTTCCTTCCTTCCCTCCCAAAACAGATGGCAAAAGCTGTTTAGTTTGGCTAGTTAGGAGCGCAGTCCTTGTGTACACAGATCTGCCTTTGAACTCAGCAGGAGTTTCGCCTATATGGAGAATGCAGGATCTGGCCCCATGACTAACCCTTCTGAACATGGATATTTTTTCATTCATCTGTCTAACTTGTTCTCTCAAAATTGGATTTTTCCCATATGAAATAGTTTAGAGAAGATTTAATTTCTTTATTTTGAAAGAATTAGTCTGTAAATGTATTTAAAGAAAAAATACAATTCAAATAGGATTTGAAGTCAATCTAGAAGAATTGGAAAAAGAAAAATTCACTAGAAAGACTAAATATGAAATTCTTTCCCTGGCTCAAACTAATACCTAGACGCATAGGACATTTCATGAAAAGCCACTTAAATTACTGTATTTGTTCACCGCTAGGAGTGAGAATATTTAAAAAGTGAATCTGGAGTTGAAGTTTGGCAGGGGGAGAAAGAAACAATGGCAGAAATACATGAGAAAATATAGGGGAGCCTGCCCAGACTGTAAACTAGTTAGGGTACCCAATTACAATACTGACAGAAGATTCTCACCCCTCTCCCATACATAGTCAACTTGGGGGGGGGGGGGAACTGTTTCCCTCTATTCATACTCTAACTCTGTACAGCTGCTTGTTTCTGATGACAGCTCTTCAGATCATCTAATAACCTCACCTTTGGTATATAGACTGTTAATGTTAAGTAAATAGCACTCCATAGTATGCATGTCACAAGGCTTGACAACCAAAGTTTACAAAACAAAAACCACAGACCAGAAAGTTTCCCCTACTCCTGATATGAAAGGGAACAAGGTCTACCAAGGCGGATCCCTACTTACTTAGAAGTGCAGGGGACATGATTCCTAATGTTAAACAACAGGGTGGAGAACAACGTGCTTCAAGGACTGAAAAGAACTCTGGGGAAAAGAAGGGAGTAAAGACGGAACCACTAATTACTAGCAGCCAATGTATGTGAAAAATCTAAAACATTACAAGGATTATGAGCCAGTTAACCTTGGACCCAATGACTTCAGTGTAAGTAGAAGCCTGCCAGTCAGGCAAACTGGAAAGGAATGGCGCTAATTAATCCTCATTGTTTAAAAAAAAGTACTGCTTAAAGACTGGGATGGAAGAGGGTCCTGTTATTACAGCATCGGACTGGGACTCAGGAGACTGGATTCTTTTCCCAGCCCTGTCTCAGACTCTCTGTCTGACCTTGGGTATGATTTTCAAGACAACTCTGCACCCATAATCAGGACCAGATTTTTAAAAGAGGTCAGCTGCCAATTAGACACCAAAGTAAGTGGGTACTGAGCACTTCGGAAGTCTGCCTATAAGTGTCACAATGGGAACAGCTGGGTGCTCAGCACTTCAGAAATGTGGGTCTTGACCAGGTGCCTCAACATGAGCCAAGATCTGGCTCCACGTCTCTGTCTGCTTCAGTCCCCAATACAAAGACTAGAAATGACTTTTTTTTCCACCAACACCTTATCTGCCTTTTAAGACTTCCAGCCCTGACAAGCTTACAATGCATAGCACAATGTGGTTTCAATCTCAACTGAGGCCTCTAGGGGCTGGTGTAATACAAATAGTAAAAAGAACAGGAGTACTTGTGGCATTTTAGAGACTAACAAATTTATTTGAGCATAAGCTTTCGTGGGCTACAGCCCACTTCATCAGATGCAGGTAGCCCACAAAAGCTTATGCGCAAATAAATTTGTTAGTCTCTAAGGTGCCACAAGCACTCCTGTTCTTTTTGCGGATACAGACTAACACTGCTGCTACTCTGAAACAAATAGTAAAGAGACTCCTGGTCACTATTAGCAAGGATGCAGTGTTCACAAAACACTAATCATGAGAATGACTTCTGTTATTTTTAGGAATATTTAACACATTCCACCATAGTCAGGTTTTGGTTTACTATAGCCACATTTTTGACCGAGAAAGATGGAAAATTATTATAGTCAGCAACTGATAAAGTGACCCAGGGCACAATGAACAGGTCAGTTTAAAGACAAAAAAAAAAATTCCCCTCCAGAAGTTCATAAGCCATGGTATTCAAACCTAGATGCTTACAAACACCACAGAAAAAAAACCAATCTTTTTCTAGCTAACAGGCACATACGTCTAATTTCTTTGCTTCTGCTTGTTTTCCTGAAGGACACAGATCACCAATAGAACATGTATAAGGCATCCTTTGGAAGATGCTAGCTCATAATGATTACTAGAGAGACAAGGGGGGGGTGACGTAATATCTTTTATTAGACAAACTTCTGTTGGTGAAAGACAAGTTTTTGAGCTACAAAGAGCTCTTCCTCAGACTTTTAATTCAGATACATTGTAACAAGACGTCAAAAAACTACTTGGTATCTTTTGAAAGTGTTGAACAATCTAGAATTTTTTTTCAAACAGCGTCCCATGTATTTATAGACTTACAAAGAAAGTCTAAAACAGGGGTTGGCAACCTTTCAGAAGTGGTGTGCCGAGTCTTCATTTATTCACTCTGATTTAAGGTTTCGCGTGCCAGTAATACATTTTAACGTTTTTAGAAGGTCTCTTTCTATAAGTCTATAATATATAACTAAACTATTGTTGTATGTAAAGTAAATAAGGTTTTTAAAATGTTTAAGAAGCTTCATTTAAAATTAAATTAAAATGCAGAGCGCCCCGGACCGGTGGCCAGGACCCGGGCAGTGTGAGTGCCACTGAAAATCGCTCGCGTGCCGCCTTTGGCACGCGTGCCATAGATTGCCTACCCCTGGTCTAAAAGCTTAGCTTACTAAAAAAGAAATCTACTGCCCCCTGCTGATATTAAACCAAAACAGACTTAGACTGCTTTATTTAAAAGACAACTGTGATATAAAGATTTTATCACTCTGCACTGCGCTTTACCCTCACTCAGATGAGAACACAGCCCAGAATACACAATATAACTGGACACTTAACTAGTTTTCAGCCCAACATGTATTTTTTGTAAAAACAAAACAAAAAAAGTGTTAACTCAGAAAAATATTAAAACATACTGATAAATCTTTAATAATCAGCTTAATCTAACCTGAGACTATAAACACTAAAATAGTATTAATCATAATCCACTTGTATTGTGCAGCCTCACTACAGGGCACAGTTAAGGTTGTTTGCGTGCTTTAACCATGCATTGCTATACCTTAACATGTTTAGATTTCTCTTAAACGTAACCTTAAATCTGAATTCCTGGGTTTGTAATACCTGAAGTGTTTTTTACTTAAGTTACTGATATGTGCTTTCAACTTTACCTTCATTTCAATATATTTTTGTCTTGGAATTTCCTTTATAATAAAGTAGTGCAAGCGTCCCAACCTACTTCAGCATATTCCACTTTTGCAATCGTACCACAGTTCTGCTTACAGTGAAGTTATCCAAGGGAAACGGGGAGGGGGCACGAAAGAAGGGGAGCGAAGAAGTGACACTACTCACTATTAAAAGAATTCTAGTATATTGACTTTTTAATACATATTTTTGTGTACTATGACTTTTAGGATAGTCTGGTCAAGCCATAATATCCTAATAACTGCATGCAATATTATGAGGCTTGAACACATACAAAACTGTGTCGCTGCAATTTAGCATGTGCTTCTATGTGCATTATTTATGTGCTTACATAATAGGAGTATTTTTGAAAGAAATTCTAAGTGTTATGGAAAGATATTTTGAATCTCCAATTTTGCAAATTAGAAATTGTCTATGTATACTTTGCTTTCATATTACAGGAGTCTAACTTTCCAATTAAAAATTACTTTGGTATAATGATGTTTCAGAGCACTAAAGAGAGAGAATGTTTACCTGTCAACTATATTGCTGCTGTTTGTAGTATTCCTTCATCCTCTTATTCATCTACTATACAGGAAAAGTTTCTGTGAACATTTCTCTTCTGATGGTGCCCTGGAGATGTCTTCAAAGTATGTTGCTGTTAGACCTCACTGTCTAAGAGATTTAAGATCTTTTACTTCATTATGAAAGAGGAAAATATTGAATTCCACTGCAGACCTAAAACCAAAAAACCCTACAATCCCCCCCCGCAAAAAAACCCCCACAGACGAAATTAATCAAATACAGCAAGGGAATGCAGCTGATAGCACTAAGAATCCTGATCCCCTTACTAAAAACTCCAATGAAGTCAATGAGATTTTTCACCAAGCAAGGAAAACAGGAATTAGCCCTAAGAAGCAGAACAAACTGAGGAAGCTATGGTGAAAAAGGCAGTTACCAAAGACATTTTTATGCTGCTACGTTTATTAATAACAGATGCCCTTACTCCTGGGCCTCAGAGGACAGCAGGAAACCTCTTAGGGAATGTCATATCCCAACTAGCAATTCCGCCTTCTATGGACAGGAAGAGCCAAGCATGTCTTATCCTGAAAGGAAAGACTAGTGTCAGTCAGTAAACAAAGTAAAGCTTACGCCATAACATCACAAACTACCAAGCAGCATGTAACTCAAGCTATCGGAGCAATACACTGCCATGCACAGCAAAGCCATTCAACAGAAAATACATATGAATCCCATTCCAGAATACAGACTACAGGCCTGATTCTATTCTCACTGCAGTCAATGGGAGTCTTGCTATCAACTATAATGGGAGCAGGACTAACCCTATCCATTCTGTTTCTACTGCTTGGTTGCTTTACAGATAATGTAAGAATTTGAGGAAGATAGCAGCACAGAGAGTAGAAGATATGAGCTAGCAATCTGAAATGTAGATGCACCCCCCCCCCAGCTGATCCATTCTCTCACAGTAGTCTCCCAAAGTTGACACGGAATAGGACACAATATAATCATTAACATAATGAGTGCTGGTAGTTATGCTACAGCAGTGGCAGTGTTAACTAAGCTCGATGTGCAAAAATCGCTACCTCAATATGATTAGAAATGGTATCCTTGGAAAGCACTTTAAAAAAAGATGAAATACGCCCATCTGCACCATACGAGAGATTAGGTATTCCCAAATAAATAAGTTCTAATGTGTTCAGTTTTGAGCTATTGCTAATAAGCAGGGATCCTAGAAATCCGTCTGCGACAGAAAAACACCGAATTTGTTTTTACAGAGAATCTTCAGTTTTTTCATTGTGTAAACCCTGATTTATCCGATCTAATTGAGATTGGGGACAAATCGGATAATCAAAAATTCTGATAATCAGAAGAATGGGCAAAGAGCTTTCTATCCCTTATTTTAAGATGGGGGGCTTGGACAGTCAGCCTAGGGCAGCTGGTGGTTCAGCTAATACAATGAGTTGGATAATGGAGGCTTGGATAAACATTGTGTTCAACTGATTTCTGTATATATTGTGGCTAGGGAAACTAAAGTTCAGCGTTTCATTTTAATTGCAGAAGGAGAGATATTTATGGATTTTAACAGAGCATTTGAGGGGTGAGGGGTTCCACGGAAAACTGGGATTCCTGCTAATAAGTAATGGTATTGCATTACCAAACTAATCAGATTCACTACATCTTGGGAAGTTCAGTCACTCTTCCTATTTACAGCAAGATCTTATTCAGTCTTCTCTTCTATGGACATTACAGTTCATACAGAATTTCTCCTTGCCCACCTCATAAGGTGTACTATATGCCTGGATGTTCCCTTTCACTTCAGAGGCAGTTGCTTTTCACTGACACTCTGTGTATCATTTAATATAGTTATAAGAAATGTAAAACCATATTTTAGAAGGAGAACCTGGTTTATTCCCCTATCTAAAAGGGAGTGCATGTAGGCAATCATGGTTGGATGTTAGTGACATGTTCTCCCTCCATGTGATAAAACCACTGCCTGGACCCAACCTTGGATCCAGACTCAGGATGCTGGAAATGCATGTACCCTTCTCCTCCTAAAAAAAAAATGCAAACAGGGGCTCCAGGATAGGATTGATATATTGAGTATTATGTCATGACAGCAATTTGGACCCTCACCTTAAACTGGCACAACAGTATTAGCAACTCCAAATGTTCAAAAATCATGAGATTTTTAAAAAATTAAGTTTACAGTACTATTTGTTTGCCTTCTAGTTTTGGGGCCTTTTCAAGCTTTTGTTCACAAATACAAGGGCTAGAAACTTCTTTTTTAAATGACAGCTGAGATTCTCATGTGATCACATGGCCCTAGGTACTTTAAAAAAAACCAACCAAATATCACAAGTCACAACAGCGAGATAGCTCAGTGGTTTGAGCATTAGCCTGCTAAACCCAGGGTTGTGAGTTCAACCCTTGAGGGAGCCACTTAGGGATCTGGGGCAAAATCAATACTTGGTCCTGCTAGTGAAGGCAGGGGGCTGGACTCGATGACCTTTCAAGGTCCCTTCCAGTTCTAAGAGATAGGATATCTCCATTAATAATAAAAAAAAACCTAAGCCCAAGTTTTGCTGTGAGAAAGAGTTAGACTGTTATATAATGCTCATGTGCTGCATTCCCAAAGTGTGCTGCAGCATCTCTAAGGATAAAGTGATAGTATGTGTATTATTGGGGCATTGTTAAAAGGGAGGAAAGTTAAGGTCACATTGCAAGGTTGGCACATACCTTAATTTTGTACTTCCTGTTTTTTAGAGGTTTAAGTTTAGCTGCTCTCTGCACTCTGGAAGGGCATGAAGCAGCACTGGGCAACCTTCATTCTGCATTAACAAAGTTTTTAGGCAGTTAATTTCCTTGGGCTTGGTTTTATTTTTTCCTTTTTAAATATATAATTTCTCAGCATCTCCATAACCCAGCTCTCCCTCTCCACGGCCTCTGACTACTTGGCAATGATTACCACAGTCACTGAAAACAATGTTGCATGTTAATTCCTTTACTGCCCAACATCATCTCCCCAGCTCAGGGGTCTCCTGTCTCTCTGCCTGTTCAGCAGGTTGGTCTTACCTGCTCCCCATGCCAGAGCAGACAGCAGCAGAGGTCCTGCAAGTTAAGAAGCTGGGGAGAGGATGCAGGAACAGTGCAGGACCTAACATGGAGTCAGGCCTATTTTTTGAAGGAAAATAAATATGGAGGGCATGTATGGACCCCTCCTATGCATCCCATACTTCCCTGCACAACTCTGACCTCCCCGCTCTTCCTTTAGCAGCAGCAGCAGCATGGGGAAGGGCAAGTCTGGAGCACCTTCCTCACTGCAGGAGGCAGCATGATTTAACCTTAATGATTTTTTTCCTTACATTTTTACCTGTAATATGAAGTTGCTCTAAGACAATTATTCATTGGAAACATCCAGTCTTATTTATATGGTCAATTATATAGGAAATATATAAAAATTTTCATCTGTAATGCGAAGCAATTTGTCTAAGGGAGGATAAAACTACTATAATTGTAAATCATTGGTTGACAACTTGTTCATCTCAAAGTATTCATTATTTAGCTTAATTTTTCCACACTAACATGTTGTTATGGTGCGGCTATACTGTTGCAGCTCCAATAAAATATTAATCTTGTCTAATCACTCAGTTAGTAGGCCTATTTTTGCATTTATGTTTTATACACCCACAATAGACAAATCAGTGAAAACCCCTAGTAAAGATGTGCTGCAGCAGTGTAATCTTGATCTGCTGTAGTTCACAGCCTGCCTGTTTTTAAAGGTCGTGATTATCTACAGTGCATTACAAAGACACTAGAAGTTTGCAATGTTGCTGCTACATTGGCACAGGTAAACCATTTGAACAGGAAAAAGAAGTGGAACTGGAGCTATGACATTGTGATACCGTGCATAACTTAGTTACAGGTAAACAATGACATGCATCTGAATAGAGTTAATCAAGGGAAGGGATGGTGTGCTCAGGACAATTAGTAATAAAATACCATTTTAAAACCAAATAAGTAAAATAAATAGTAAGATGCAACACTTACAGTGGGTAATAGGAAATGGAGTCCCATGCAGGTACACCATATGGTAGCTAAGCCAAACCTGGCACTGCTGTAAGGCTCCCTACAGACACATTACGCCTGCGGAGGCATTCAGGCATTCTCCTCACACAAACCCAGGCAGAGTTGTGACCAGTTTTAGGGCGGTGGACATGTCAGATGTGTCAGGGAACCAACTTTCTTTTGGCCACTCAGTACCTCGTTTCAGCCGGACAAGAGCTGCAACACCTCGGCATAGGGCTACACCGCACTTCTAAGGCCACAACCCTGAGGCAGAGGTGCTGAGGCGGCACAGCCAGCCAGGAGCACCTGCCCCTCTAGCAACCACTGCAGCTGGCTCACTCCATCCATGGTAACTTCAAACCACCCTGCAGGTTTCCCCTCCCTGCCACCCCATCTCCCCCACTGTTACCCCCCAGCTCCTGCCCCTCTGTCCCCTCCTCCCAGCCTGGGGGCAAGCTGCACCCATCCCCCTCCCTCCTTCTCGCCCCTTCGCCCCCCTCCATAGTAGGTGACCAGATGTCCCAATTTTATAGGGACAGTGCCGATTTTTGGGTCTTTTTCTTATATAGGCTCCTATTACCCCCCACCCCCTGTCCCGATTTTTCACACCCGCTGTCTGGTCACCCTACTCCATAGCAGCAGCTGTTCTCAGGGCCAGTAAGGGGAGGCTTAAGCAGACGTTACTGAGCATGCGCAGTAACCTTCTAGGGAATAACGATCCTGACACCACAATAACCGGAGCGGGGGTTATGGCGCAACCCTCCCCAGCGCTCACACGTCCCAAGCCGCACGCGCCGCCAGCTGCCACCCGCGCTCAAGGGCGGGTGAGCCCCCAGCCCTCATCCCCAGTTAGGGGATCGGGCCAGCCCTCATCCCCCTCCTAAGAAGCTGATGCCTTGCTGCTACTCACATGCCTGTACCCCGCCTTCGGGCCGCTCGCAGGCCGAACCCCCGCGCATGGGCGGCGGATAAACCCCCCCGCCCCCTTCCGGGAGGCTAGGCCGCTGGCCCGCCCCTTCCGCCCGAAGCCCCGCCCGCTGGGGGGAAGGAGCCCCGTACCTCCCCCCAACGCGGCGCCGGGCCGAGCCGCCGGTCACCCCACCCCCCACCTCCGCCCGGCCGACCTGGTTAGGCAGCAGCTAGCTGGGGAATTTGAGAATCTCAGTGGCACTGAAGTGTTGGACGGAGATGCCTAAGTGCCCCGTTAGGCGCCTCTGTTCCAGTGCGGACCTACCCCATAGAGCTTACTAGCCTGCACAGCTCCACTGGCTTTATTTCCAGCCTCCAGTGTGACTTAATATGAGTATAACATGGACTTCTCCTGTTAGTCAGCACTCCTCCTGAGACTAAGTAGTGTCTGAAGGCTTAGTCCCAAAGTCTGAGTACTAACAGGTGTGTTTTATACTAAAATGTGTTGCCGTCTTAAAGAAAAACATTGGATCCTATTTACCAAAATCCCACATCTCACTGCTAAAACATAATAGAGAGGTCTGAACAAAGGCCCAGAGCCAAACATTGAGTCACTTGGATTCACATCTGGTTCTCAGTTTTGCAACTGTCTCCTATCTCTTTCTGTACAGCACTATCTGTTTAATGGGCTTAACCAAATTTCTGAATATGAAGACCCTCAAATTTGGGGGAAATTTGGCTCAGAGCCAAACTTTACATCTTGGACTTATAGCTAAAAGGACAACATCAAGGTACTTGTCATCTTTTAATAAATGTTGCTTATAGCTAAAGGCAATTAAGCAGACCTAAAAAGCCCTAAGTGGCCTAGGAACTATAGGCTAGATTCACAAAAGGCCCTAGATCAGTGGTGGGCAACCTGCGGCCCATCAAGGTAATCCGCTGGTGGGCCACGAGACAGTTTGTTTACATTGACTGTCCCTCAGGCACAGCCGCCCGCAGCTCCCAGTAGCTGCGGTTCGCCGTTCCCGGCCAATGGGAGCTGCGGGCGGCCATGCCTGAAGGACAGTCAATGTAAACAAACTGTCTCACGGCCCACCAGCAGATTACCTTGATAGGCCGCAGGTTGCCCACCACTGCCCTAGATGCTTAAATCCCAGCATCAGATGCCACTGGTATTCAGAAACCCGGTAGGTACCTCCGTTTCTGCCTCTGAATGCAATGGACAAACCAGGGGAAGATAGGCACTCCTTCACCTAACTTGGCTTTGGGGCCCAATATGGTAAGCAGCCTCAGCGCCTGCTTATGGGATTGGGCCCTGCATGCAAGCTCACCCAAACAACTGTGATGGAGAGGATGCCCATAACTTTTAGCCCAGTGGTTAGGGCACTCACCCTTGTTTAAGTTTTCCCTCCATTGAGTGGAAAAAGAGATTTGAACAGAGTTCTGCCATCTCTTAGGGGAGTGACCTAACTATTGTGCTATGGGATAGTTTGATGTGTTGAAGCTGTTCCACTGTGGATAAATAATTAAAGTGTCATTGGAGTAGGAAAACCACCTCCTGAATCTCACACCTGGTGGCTAAGTGCTCTGACTGCCAGGCTATAGAGTCATTCTCTTTCACCAGCCCAATGATTCTAAAGCTGGGGGTGTCGATGCTTAGCATTGCCATGCCTAAGGCCTGGTCTACATTGGGAGGGGAGGGGGCGCGACTTCAGCTATGAAAATAGCTATGAAGTTACGCAACTTCAGCTATGAAAATAGCATAGCTGAAGTCGATGTACTTAGAGCTACTTACCACGGTGTCTTCACTGCGGTAGATCGACTGCTGACGCTCCCCCATTGACTCTGCCTACGCTTCTCGCTCCAGTGGAGTACAGTAACACCTCACTGAAAGTCGTCCCAGTTAACGTTGTTTCGTTGTTACGTTGCTGATTAGACAACATGCTCGTTTAAAGTTGCGCAATGCTCCCTTATAATGTTGTTTGGCAGCCACCTGCTTTGTCCACTGCTTGCAGAAAGAGCAGCCCATTGCAGCTAGCTGGTGGGGGGCTTGGAACCAGGGTGGACCAGCAGCCCCCCCCATCAGCTCCCCGCTCCCCTAAGTTTCCTGTGCGGCAACCGCCCAGCAGGCTATCAATTGCCTGCTGTTCAGCTGTCCCTCCTCCCACTGCCATGTGCCGCTCCTGCCCTCTGCCTTGGAGCTACTCCCGGAAGCCTCCTGCTTGCTGGGGGGGGGGGGAAGAAGAGGGTCTAATGTCAGGGTGTCCCCCACCCCCCTCCTCCTGCCCCCCGCTTACCCCTTCTCTATAGGGCTCAGGATGGAGGGAGCTTGCCGGCAGCAGCTGCTGTCTCAACTTGCTGATCTACTTAAAAAGGCAATGTACTTAGAGTGGGGTCAGGGTACTTACAGGGGCAATGCACATCTCTCTCTCACACATGGTGTGTCTCTGTTTCTGTCTGCCATGCTGTCTCCCCTCCCTCCATTTGTGCTCCCTTGTAGAGTGTGAGGCTACGTTAACAACAATGTGTTAACCCTTGATGGCTCAGCCGAGTGCTAGTTCATCATTTAGCGCTAAGGCATTCCCTGGGAAATATCCCTCCCTCTTCTACCCTCTGACTTCACCACCTCAACCAAGCTTCACAATCATCATTGCTGTGTACAGTATTAAATTGTTTGTTTAAAACTTATACTGTGTATATAGACTATATATAAAATATAGTCTTTTGTCTGGTGAAAAAAATTTCCCTGGAACCTAACCCCCCATTTACATTAATTCTTATGGGGAAATTGGAGTCGTTTAACATCACTTCGCTTAAAGTTGCATTTTTCAGGAACATAACTACAATGTTAAGCGAGGAGTTACTGTACCGGAGTCGACAGGAGAGCACTCGGCAGTTGATTTATCGCATCTTCACTAGAGGCGATAAATCGATCCCTGTTGGATCGATTGCTCCGGAGGTAAGTGAAGACATGCCCTAAGTTTCTGTCTCACTATGCTTTAGTGAATTCTCCTCTGCTTACTAGATGTTTTCTATGAAGGCCCCTTCACTTTAAATTCACTGCCCACCTACAAAGCTGCTCTGCTCTCTCTCTAGGTTTTGAAGAGGGATGAGCATTATGACAGCAGTTAGTGGTGGAAGAGGGAGCAGTTTCTTTCAATCTTTATTTTGGCTGCCTGTTGACACGGGTCTGGCATAATCACTGGAGTAAGGATGATAATAAAAGGAGCTGTAATAACAAGTGTATTTAAAATTATGTCTAGAGCAATGGATAGGTCCTTTTCATGTTAATGAATCAAAATAAATTAATCATATGTAACATTTTAGGACTATCACCTTGAGTGGCTCTATAATTTCAAAGAAATTATGAGGAAAAACTAGGACTTGCTTTGTCTATTAGGGCCTGAGAATCAAAGTTTTATTTATTTGAAAGTAGTAAGACACCACAAAATTGTTTAATTCCAAATGGAAACATAGGCCTGATCCTCTGAGGTGTTGACACCTTCTGAAAGGTAGTGGGAACCCTAACATCTACAACAGACTTCGTAACTGAGGGTGCTCGGCACATTACAAGACCAGGCTCAGAGTTATCTGAAAAGAGTGTAGCCCAAGCTTTGGAATTTTCTATGTAAATAATAATTAGCTTTGGGCCAAGGAGGTGGTATTTGCATTGAACATAGACTGCTCGTCAACATGCAGCTATCCCATGGCTAGGATTTGGGTTTGCATTTGACAGCACCAAAATCTCACAAACTGTTCTTGAGAGATTTCTGTCACCTTGGCTAGCATCTGAACCAGATTTGGAAAATAGGCTCTGTCCAGTTTTGAGATTGCAGTTGAGTCCCAATTCCACTAATAATGAAAACACTGAACATTTGTAAAAGAAAACTAGTAATTCTGTATTGTATGTTACTTAGGTGGAGATAAATGGTAACCCTAACTAATAATACTTCTGGGTGTTCTATATAGTTTTAAATTATTGCGACATTTAAAAGTGCCCCGGGGAAGATCACTGAAGTCAATCAGAATTATACCAGGCTTGATCCCTATGTAAAGCCACAGAAAGTTCTGGAAAACTATGAGTGTCATACTGTTTAGAAACAATTAGTCTCTCTTGATTTCCCTTCTCTCCCCTCCTCCCACCTCATTCCATTGCCTGACATATTGGTGCAAAAACAAAATCTTTATTTGTTGTAACATCACAACTTGTTGCTGTGGGCGTGATTACACAGAAACAAACAGAAGATTATGATTTCAGGCAAAGTTGCATCTTATCAAGGGCTGTATCAGAAAATATGTATGCTGACTCTGAGAGGCAGAGCACCTTTATAAACAATTAGACACAAACATAACAAATTTTCTGTTTGTGTCTATAACTTCCTCACCAACCAACGCTGATGTTATAATCAAAGATGATGCCTTCAGGTAATGAATAAGCAGGAAGAGCAAATGACTCTGAACTAAAAATATGTTTCTTGAGGCCAGAGGTGGCCAAACTATGGCCCGCGGGCCACATCCGGCCCGCAGGACCATCCTGCCCGGCCCTTGAGCTCCCAGCTGGGGAGGCTAGCCCCGGTCCCTCCCCTGCTGTCTCCCCTCCCCCGCAGCCATGCCACTGCGCGGGCAGCGCACTGGGCAGCTGGGTTGCACGCTCCTGCCAGGCAGCGCAGCAGCGTGTCTAGCTCCGACCGGACAGCGCGGCTGCCAGACATGCTGTTCTGAGTGGCATAGTAAGGGGTCCAGAGCTGGGGGTTGGATAAGGGGCGGAGGGTCCCAGGGGCCAGTCAGGGGACAGAGAGCAGGGGGCAGTTGGATGGGGCGGAGGTTCTGGGGGGGCGATCAGGGGACGAGGGATGGAGGGGTTGGATAAGCGTGGGAGTCCTGGGGGGGGCCTGTCAGGGGGCGGGGGTGTGGATAGGGGTCAGGGAACAGGGGGGGTTGGATAGATGTAGGGTCCTGGGGGGCCCGTCAAGGGGTGGGGGTGTGGATAGGGGTCAGAGCAGTCAGGGGACTGGGATTAGGGGAGTTGGATAGGGGGTGGGGTCCCGGGGGCAGTTAGGGGACAAGGAGCGGGGGGGGGTTGGATGGGTTGAGGATTCTGAGGGGGGCAGTCAGGGGTGGGAAGTGGGAGGGGTCGGATGGGGGGCGGGGGCCAGGCTGTTTGGGGAGGCACAGCCTTCCCTACCCGGCACTCCATACAGTTTTGCAACCCCAATGTGGCCCTCGGGCCAAAATGTTTCCCCACCCCTGCTTTAGGCTATTATGGTTTGAATTGGTCAACATAGCCTGATAAATTATATTAGAAACCAATTTAGGTGAACCAGTGTGTAAAAGAGTTGACACACATCCATACTGATTTTAAAGGTCAGTGCAGTTAGGGCCTGAAAATCCTCTGTAAAGTGCTTTCCTTGTAATAACTATTAATAATATCATGGATATAACACTTTATGGCTCTTCTTTTGACTTGCCAAGTACCTACAGCTCTTATTAACATTAGTGAGAGTTGTGAGTGCTGAGCACTGTTGAAAATCAAGCCATAAACATTCAATGTGCCATACAAACATTAACTAGTTAGTCAGTATATTTGTTGAACTTATAACCCTCATTGTCTGTGATTATCACTCCTTGTATGTCTTATTCTAGGTCATGGGACAGCTCAAATAAGAAGGGTTTGCATGATCAGACCAGGAACTTTATCATCTTGTACTTTTGTAATGATCAAAAATTCATGCAGCACTCCCAGCCTCCCATGAGGTAAGTAAGTAAGAATTATTATCCATGTTTCCAGAAAGGGAAGTTGAGGTAGAATGGTTAAGTGTTTTTTCTCATGGCCACACAGTGAGTCAGGATTAGAACTCCGAAATCGGTGATTTCCAAGCACATGCCCTGTGTGTTGTTCAGGGCTGGCTCCCGGGTTTTTTGCCGCCCCAAGCGGCGAAGAAAAAAAAAAAGAAAAAAAAGAAAAAGCTGCGATTGGCGGCACTTCGGCAGCAGTTCTACTGCGCCGCTTCATTCTTCGGCGGCAAATCAGCGGCCGGTCTTTCCGTCCGAGAGGGACCGAGGGACCCGCCACCGAATTGCCGCCGAAGACCCAGACATGCCACCACTTTTCATTGGCCGCCCCAAGCACCTGCTTCCTGCACAGGTGCCTGGAGCCGGCCCTGGTGTTGTTACATATCCACTGCCTGTTCAGTGTCTAGAGCACTGTTATATGTGGTTACTCTCTTATAATGTATAAATAGCCCAAAAACCACAAGAGCAGGCTTTTTATGTAAGTATGGCATTGCCACTGTTCAGCATGTTCAGAAATACTGTAACCTTTGGGCTCCATGACTAATTATTATATTCTCGTGTCTGCTCCACCCATAGGCTAGGCAGTGAACATTACACCTTCATAAAATACTGTTTGCTTATTATCAAGTTGATAAGGACTCTATATAAATACACAAAGGCTTATTCTTTCTTCATAGCACAAAGCCTCTTCTTCCACTTCCTCTTCTTTTACTTTTTTTGCTTCATCTTATGGAGAAAGAAGGGCTTTCTGACAAAAATCACCCTGATAGAAGAAATAACATCTTTAAGACATAATACAGATAATTACAGCAAGAATGGGTCTGCTGAGTTCCAAACACTCCAAAGTCAAACCAGCTAAGATATTAATGCTGGGACTTGATTCAGCCGGGAAATCTACACTATTGTACAAGTTAAAGTTTAATGATGTTTTCCTAACACTCCCAACAATCGGTTTTAATGTGGAGATGATTGAAACAGGGCAAAATATTGCTATAACAATCTGGGATGTTGGAGGGCAACAGAAAATGAGGACATTTTGGTGCAATTACTTTGAAAATGCAGATGGCCTGGTGTACGTTGTGGACAGCACTGATAAGCAACGTCTGGAAGATTCAAAGAAAGAATTTGAACTCCTCTTAAAGAATGAATTTGTAAAGAATGTGCCTATTGTTTTGCTAGCTAACAAGCAGGATCTTCCTGGAGCTTTGAACGCTGAGGAAATAACCAGGAAATTCAACATGCAGAAACATTGCAGTGATAGAAATTGGTATGTACAGCCTTGTTGTGCGATCTCTGGGGAAGGTCTGGCAGAAGCATTCCAGAGAATAACAGCATTTGCAAAAAACTGCAAAAAATCCAGAGAAGAAGCTTTTACAATTTTCAAGCAAGATGAAAAGTTGTAAGAGTCTTCATTATCCCAATCTGGGGAAAGCTAACATGGAGAGTTTATTATGGGAATGAAATCTACATATTGAATTCTGCAGATCTTTTAAAAGACTATTATATAGCAAAATGTAGTCAGAGCAAGCTAAATTACTATGTTGTTACATTTGCATACTCTTTCAGAGCTACTGTTTCACAGCATTTTAATTAAATGACAGATTTGTATCCTAAGTCCAGATATTTGGCAGTGTTAAACTGCATGATATAATAGTAAAAAGGTGCATTTAAACATTTTAAATGTTCTACAATCATTTTATTTATGCTTGTTTAATTACACAAAATGTACAAGAGCTGAGATAAATGGCACATTGACCAAGCAAAGAAAAAGTAAAAAACATTATTTCATATTACATAACATACTGTATTTGTAAGTGCTTTGTGAATATGTTTATTATACAGACATATATAAATTCTTACACTAGAAAGTAATTTTGATAGCTAATTTTTTTAACTGTTATATCATTTTACCAATACTTAAAAGAAAAAGGCTTTCTCTTTTCAATTATATACAAGAGAAACTGCGTACTTGGAACAGAAGCATTAACATTACTGCTTTCTCAGGAACCAGTCCTGTTCACACTGATTTCAGTTAGAGCAGGATCAGACCCTCAAAACCCATAGAATGATCTCACCAAGCTGATTCTGTCTTCTGTGGGTTTTGTGTGTATTTTATATCACTTTCAATCATGATTAGGGCTGGTGTTTTCAAGAAATTGCCAATATTGCTGTGTTTTTTCCCAAAATTACCTTTCATTTCCAGAATTGCCAATTCCAGAGGCAAAGCGTGACCCCCCAGATTTCTGCCAGGGTTTATATCTGCTGACTGCTCCCCTAGGCGCAGGGCAGAGGCTGGGGGCTGGCTGTTGTATGAGACTCGCCACCAACTTCTCCCCTCCTCACACAGGCCTGGGCACAGCAATACCGTTGTGGAGCTTCCGCTGGGAGGGCAAGGCACTTGGGCTCCCTCGTCATGCTGCACAGTGGACAGTGCTTGCACCTTTTCTTGACAGCGTCCAAAGCGCCTCTCCCCTGCTCACCTGCCCTGCACACAGCTTGTTCCTGTCTCCCACTATCGATTGCGGCTCCCAGTGGCCGCGGTTCGCTGCTCCAGGCCACTGGGAGCCGTGATCGGCCGGACCTGCGGACGCGGCAGGTAAACAAACCGGCCCGGCCCGCCAGGGGCTTTCCCTACACAAGCGGCGTCCCAAGTTTGGGAAGCACCGCTTTATTGGAATACATAGCAGGAATCCTTACTGAAGACATAAATAACATAATAAAGAACACAAGCACACTAAAATATCTTTTTCTTATTTACTTTTACTATTGGGGATTCCAGTAAGGGAATGTTAACAATTTGATAACTGGAGCAAAGTAAAGCTTGATTTTTTTTTCATTGTATCCATAATCCTCCATGGCCAAACCAGTTAAAAATTCAAGATTCTCAGTTAAAACAATAATAGTTGAAATCACCGTTTCCCCAATGTTGTGAATTTAACATCATTTAAATCTAAGGCTAAAAAAAAGTAATGGTGCCTGTGACAGATTTAATTTATGCTAGACATTTTACATGGGTAACTTGCCTTGTCAGCAGGGAGAAGAGGCATAATGAAATTATTATTCCTATATTTCCAGTAACCCCAGCCCATTTATAGTTTAAATAATGTTACATTCCCAGCCCTTTTGAGCAATCTGAGGAAAGGAAGAATAGCCCAGTGGTTAAGGTGCTTGCTTTGGACCAAGGAGAGGTGGGTTTAATTTCCCTGTTTCTACCATAGGCTTCTCAGACCCTGGGCAAGTCACTTCGGGCATGGCTACACTTGCAGATGTAGAGCGCTGTGAGTTAAACCCGCCTTTGGAGAGCACAGTAGGGAAAGCGCTGCAGTCTGTCCACACTGACAGCTGCTTGCGCACTGGCGTGGCCATATTTGCGACACTTGCAGCAGCATTGGGAGTGGTGCATTATGGGCAGCTATTCCAGCATGCAAGTGACTGCAACGTGCTTTTCAAATGAGGGGTGTGGGGTGGAGTGTGACAGGGAGTGTGTTGTGTGTATGTGGGGGGAGAGAGAGTGGGTTTTGGGGGGGCTGAGAGCATGTCAGCATGCTGTCTTGTAAGTTCAGACAGCAGCAGACCCTCCCCGCCCCCCCACCTCTCTCTCTCACACACAGCATTCCACACTAATCTGTCTCGGAGAACACTTATCTGCCTCGGAGCAGATAAGCAGCCAGCTGTCAGAAACGGAGCTTTCAAACGGCATATCCACATTCCTACAGCGAGTTCAAAACAATGAGAAGAGTGGCCACTCGACTTAAGGGAATTATGGGATGTTTCCGGAGGTCAATCAGAGCGCAGTAATGCAACACCTCGTCCACACTGGCGCTGCAGTGCTCCAGCGAGGGCGCAGCAAACATTATTCCACTCTCCGAGGTGGAGTACCAGGAGCGCTGTAGCCACGGAGTCAGAGCACTCTCTGTGCCTTGCCAGTGTGGACAGGGAGTAAGCTAGTGCACCTGGGGCTGCTTTAATGCACTGTAACTCACAAGTGTAGCCAAGCCCTTAGTCTCTTTGTGCTTCTGTTCCCCATTGATAAAATGTACTTCCCTACAGCCCCTTCTGAGAAAGCTACTGCCAATTTCAATGTGCCTGTTTTCCCCAGTGGCAAAATTTATGCACTAAGTAATTCATGTGTAAAAGATTAGTTCAGTTCTTCCTATGTGTAAGTTACCGTGAAAACAGGTAGAACTACAGGGCCTTTGGAATATCAGGTTTCACAAGTGCTAAGCAAGAAGGAAAGCATCCAGCAATAACATGTTGACTCATTCAAAAAATATTCATGAAAAGTCACCAAGGTAAACAGAAGAAGGTTTCTTAACAGTACTTTCTATTAAAACTTATACAAATGATAGTGGGCCAGATCCTGAGTCATGCTGAACATTTGCATTTCTACAGGCAGAGACTTGAAAGTATTCAGACCCTTTCAAGGTCTGGCCCAGTCCTTTTAAGTGCCATGTCAGGTTCTGATCCAATCATGCTGAGAAATGAGAAGCAGAAGCATTCTTTTTTCTAATGTGATCCCTGGTATTTCAATAAATGTTAAATAGAGAAAGAATGTAACATTCTAGATGGAGAGCTTTATAAGTATTTGTAAGTGCATTTGATATACATTTAATTCTCCCATTGTATAAACTATTGCTATTTACCTTAATCTAATTACATGTTGATTTTATAAACCTTAATCTAGTTCACTAACCTGAGGACCTCCTTAGGGACATTTGCTCCTACTGACATTGCTTTTAATAAGTGCACTGATTAGGGTGACCAGATAGCAAGTGTGAAAAATCGGGACAAGGGGTGGAGGGTAATAGGAGCCTATATAAGACAAAGCCCCAAATATCGGGACTGTCCTTATAAAATCGGGACATCTGGTCACCCTAGCACTGATGTCTCTAATTAGACAAAATGACACACTGAAACTGATTTGAGGAAAATGTCTTCCTTAAAGCTGTAGTCAAAGAATAAGAAATTGTCTGTGATTCTCATCACTTGATAGTCTGCAATGTGAATAATTATTTTTTGTTTTTTTCTATGCTGTACAATACTTAAAGGAACCTAGGGAGGGCCAGGTCGGAAAATGCTGCCAACCCAGACATTTCAGGGTTCTGTATTCCTAGAGTGTCCCGCTCCACCAGGGATAGACTGTAATGCCAGAGGGATACTGCTGGCGCCCCTGTACCATGTGACTTGGAGCTTGAACAGCATCATACTAAGATTACTGTGAAGATAATACACTAATTCTCTATGGAGTTTAAGTTTTCTTTCCCTGTATCACAGGCCATTACAAGCTCCTCTTCATCTTTTTAACAGTAGACTTCTTTCACAGCCATCCACCTCTGTTCTGGTCCCAGTGCCTACCTTCCTCATTTGTGGAAATTTCAAAGGAGCACTCCTGCTGAAATCAAACTCCAGAAATTATTGTTTGGTTCTCACTAGAGAACATTTTTGTTTCCTTGTGTCAGTGATTGTCTTTTGATTTCAGGTTCACAAAAGTAGATTAGTACTATGAACATTTTATTTATAGTTAAATTTGATGCTTGATTACATTTACAACGTTATATTAAACCCCAAATGATCCTTTAAAAACTCCTGACTCAACAAACTATTTACAAAACTAGTCCAAAAAATTCAACTTTAAAGTATTATAGCCTTGATCTGGCATTCTCTGCAGACTAAAAACTCCCAGGATTCTGTGGACCCAATCCTGCTTCTAATTAACTCAAAGGGAGTTTTGCCATTCACTTAGTGGAAGCAGGATCAGACCTTATGTAGGGAGCCAGTGTCGTTCCCCGGTGCCCCAGAGAGGGACAAGCTCCGCCGGACGCCAAAGTGGGCGGAGCCAGAACATTCCAAGCCCGCCCCCCAGAGGGTCAGATGCCGGACAGGAAGTATAAGAGCTCAACCCCAGAGCTCACTTGGGAGGCAGCTGCTGGAGAGGCCAGACACCTCCAGCCCAGCTGCCCCTGAGGAGACTCCAGCAACGGACCTGGAGACTGGCCTGACCGGCTGACACTTGACACGGACCAGTGTGTGGGAGAGTTGCCGAGCCTACCCCTCACCAGCTACCCAGAAGATCCAATGGTGATCGACCCCCCTGAGGACACCACCTCAACTCAGGTACCTCCAGAGGGGGAGTTGGGAAGTAGCCCGGTGGTAGCTGACCCGAGTTTGGCTGCAACACAGCCGGAACCCATGTCAGTGTGTTGCGGCCAGGATCCCCACTGACACAGCAGCAGGCCTGTGACCACTGCTAGGGCCCCAGGCTGGGACGCAGTGGAGTGGGAGGGCCTGCGCCCCCTCTGCCACCCAACACGTGGGTGGCAGCTTCCCCCTCTCCCAGGCCGCTTAGAGCCTGAAGCCTGGGTGTGCTATTTACCTGTGGTTGCTCAGCCCCTGCCTGAGGGCCTGAGCCTTGGACTCTTTGCTGCCCCGCCCCGACACAGGGCCTGGGCTTGTTATCTGTTAATTGTTACCTGTGTGTGCTCAGCCCCCTGCTGGACAGCTTGAGCCAGGACTCCTGCGGCCCAACTGATTCCCCAAGGGGCCATGCAAGGACTAAGGGCAGTGTGGGTCCCCACTGCCCCAGAGAGGGACAAACCCTCTCTACACCTTATATAT